CACACCCTCCTGGGCAGCCTTGCAGGACTGCACACCTCATCCACAGTGTCTCAGTGCCACGCACAGATGCCGTGTGTGCTTAGATGTTCAGACTGCCACATACTCTTCTGCACACAGGCATGTTGACACGGTGACAAAATTATGCTTGCTGGACACTTGCACGCTGGTGCCCAGCATGGCACAGTGCAAGTCAGTCACCTAGCATGCATCTCCCAGAGACAGCCACCCCTGCTCCCTCTATCCCTCCAGGCAGGGACAGAAACTCCAGACACACTCCAGGCACCATCACACACACAGTAGCATTTACACAGCCTCACACAGACACACACAGTCACATAGAGTCACCAGTACCTAGAGCTTCAGGCAGTCACAAGGTCACACATGTAGGCACCCATAATGTCACACTCAGCCACAATCAGGTAATCGCCTGCAGGCACACAGTCACCCATTTCCGTGGTGACAACCACTTTTGTTGCATGCAGTCCCAGGACCTCAGGGACCAGCAGTCATATACAAAGCCAAGTTGCCACACACAGCCAAACGCACAGTAAACACCCCTAGTGCCACACGCATTCACCCACAGAGTTGTGGAACCACACACAATCACAAAACCACACATACAGTCTCAAAGGGTCAGCGCCTCCTGCCGCATGGTCACCTGATACTGGAAAAGGCGTCCTCCTCCCCCTCACACACCGTGGCAGTCACAAGGCCACATCGCACAACCACAAATACAGACAGAGGCTAACATTCACCCGGTCCTGGAGTCATGCCCAGACTCACACAGTTCCCCAGGGGACAGGCGTTCTAGTGCCGCAGGCACAGTCCCCCCAATCCCATGCCCCGCCCCACACCCCCTCCACGCCTCGGAGTTCCGGTTACCTGTGACTCCCAGAAGCAAGACTGTGATCAGAGCACAGAGCACCCACATCCGGGGGGGTCCTACTGTAGCCATGGCCCCTGCACCTGGATAGGGGGGTGTCAGAGGGCTGGGAATCCCAGGAGATCTGGGGAGCCCTTAACCCACTTCCCCTCCCTCCCCTACCTTATTTTCCCTGGGTAGAGAGGAGCTAGGACACTGCCCCACCATCTGTGCTGTGCTGTGCCGAGACCCAGGCACTATGGGATTCAGAAGGTCTAGCAGCCTCCAGAGGGGGCAAGGAGGGGAAGACAGAGAAAGCTGTGGGTGCAGGGCATGCATACACCTCTCCTTCCCTGCCTGCTGAGCCACCCTCCAGGCCTCACCTGCCCTGTCCCCCAGGTAGGGGGTGGAAGATTTGCTCCCGGCTCGTCGGCTGAGGACTTCTCAGGCCCGTGCCTTCCCAGCTGCTGCCTCCTCCTGGGCGTTGGGCACGGGCCTGAGTTATAACCACGCACTGCTCCCTGGGGCGCATTCCCGGGCAGTGAGGCGCCTATCGGCCTCAGCAGTTGCTCCTCCTGCTCCCCCATCTCCACCCCAGAGCAACCCCCCCACCCAGTCCTGAATACCACTCCCTGCCTCCCTGGCCCAGATGGGCAGGGGTCTCCGGAAGCCAGGCCAGCCCCCTCCCTGCCTCACCCAGCCTCCAGGATATGGCTTCTCCCCAACTCTGGGTCGCTGTTCTTGGTGCCTGGATCGCTTTCTTTCTGCTCCTCGTTTTTCTGATTCCACCATTCTGTCCCCTCATTGCTCCTCCTTCCATCTTCATCTCTGTCTTTCCAGAGTCTTCTTCCATCTCTCTGTGGTTCTCTCTCCAGCCTCCCTCTTTCTCTCCCTCCTCGCCTCTCTATCTCTCTCTCTGTCTCTCTGTCTCTCTCTGTCTCTCTCTCTCTCTCTGTCTCTCTCTCTTTCTGCCTCCCTCTCCAGCCTTGTTCTTCTCTCTTTGGGCCTCAAGTGTGGCTATCTCCCTGTTCCTCTGTCTTTCTGTGCCTCTGTGATTCTTTCTTTTTTACAGGTTCTGAATGATTTGTCAAATATAACTTAAGACTTCTCAGCCCATTTATTTTTTTTTATTTCACTTCTGCTCTATTTGTTCACAGCATGTTTTTTAGGTATAATCGAGGTACAACAAACTGCTTGTTTGTTTATTTATTTATTTGAGACAGAGTCTTGCTCCGTCGCCCAGGCTGGAGGGCAGTGGCGTGATCTTGGCTCTCTGCAACCTCCGTGAGCGACTCCTGTGCCTCCGCCTCCGGAGTAGCTGGGATTACAGGCGTGTGCCACGACGCCCGGCTGATTTTTATATATTTTTTTAAAGTAGAGACGGGGTTTCACCGTGTTGGCCAGGCTGCTCTCAAACGCCTGTTCTCAGGTGGTCCACCCACCTCTGCCTCCCGAAGTGCTGGATTACAGGCGTGAGCCACTGCACCCGGCCCAGACTGCATATTTAAAGGGCACAATTTGATGACTTTGGGGACCTGTCACACGGTCACTTGTGATCAGGAGGATGGTCATAGTCACTACCCTGAAAACTGTGCTCCTGCCCCTTTGTGTGCGTCTGGGATCCTCTGTTAATCTCTTTCTTTACACCTCTGTCTCCCTTGTGTCTTTCTCTGTCTTCTCTTTTCTGACTCTGATTCTTCCCAGGCTCTCTGTGTGTTTCTGTATTTGTATCATTCTGTCCCTTCCTCTCTGTCTCTCTCTCTCCCTCTCTCTCCCTGTCTGTTCCTCCATCTCTCTCACTCCCTCTTTTTTCTCTCTCTCTCCCTCCCTGTCCCCCTCTCTCCCTCTCCCTCCCTTTCTCTCCCCCATCTCCCTTTTTCTCCCCCTCCCTCTCTCCCTCCCTCTCTACCTCTCCCTCCCTCTCTTCTCTCTCTCCTTCTCCCTCCCTCTCTCTTTCCCTCTCTTCCTGTCTTTCCCTTCCTCTCTTTTCCTCTCCCTCTTTCCCTCTCCCTCTCTCCCCACAGTCTCTGTCTCTCTCTCTCTCTTTCCCTTTCTTCCTCTCTCCCTATCTTTCTGCCTCCCTCTCCCTGCATTTTGAGCAGGAAAGACTTGGGCCACTTTGCAGAGAGCCCTCAACTTATTCTCCTGACTTCATTCTGGGCCCAGGACTGGAGTAGAAAGAGGCAGGGACCTAGGCTGGGAACCTGCAGGTGCCAGGGCCCAGCTGGTGTGGCCAGGCATGGGTGAGACAGTTGGGCAGGGCTACCTGTTGATGGGAAAATAGGTCAAGAGGCTAGGAAAGGGGCAGATGGCTTGGGAAATGGGCATTGGGCAGGGAACCCGAAAGGTGGCTTCTCCGTCCCCACTCCTGAGCCATTCGAGGCTGCCTAAACCTCCTCTCCATGCTGGCTGTTTTTTCTGTCCGCCTCCAGCTCTTTGCATCTGTCTTCATGTCTCCCTGCCTCTGTCCTCACTAGGAAGCAAGAGCTAATTAAACATTCACCTGTGATGTGCCAGACTGTGGTGTCCGTGAACAAATGACAAAGATGGCTGAAGATCCTGCCCTCTTTGGGTCCTCATTCCTGGAGCGTGAAAAACCAACCAAGCTGTGTTAAATAAGAGATTTTAGAGCACTTAAGACTGCTTTTAGTGCACAGGAAAAAAACAAACAAACAGAAATAATAAAAACCTATTCTGAGGTTTGTTTTGATTATGGTAATTAATATTTCATTCACTAAAGTGAGAAAACCAAGGTCAGGCGTGGTGGCTCGAACCTGTAATCCCAGCACTTTGGGAGGTCAAGGCGGGTGGATCACCTGAGATCAGGAGTTTGAGACCAGCCTGACCAACATGGTGAAACCCCCGTCTCTACTAAAAATACAAAAATTAGGCGTGGTGGCGGGCGCCTGTAATCCCAGCTACACCAGAGCCTGAGGCAGGAGAATCACTTGAACCCGGGAGGCGGAGGTTGCGGTGAGCCGAGATCACACCATTGCACTCCAGCCTGGGTGACAAGAGCAAAACTCCATCTCAGAAAACAAACGAAAAGTCATCCACTTCCTTCCAACACGTCTCCATGATAAAATGTTGTGTTTCTTTGATTCTTAAGACGAAGCCCAGGTCTGACACGTCCTTCCTCCTCCAGGCCCTCAGGATCAGGTCCGAGTTATTCTGCCTGTCACTTGGTGGCATCATCTTCCGCTGACCTAACATTTCCAGCCACGTCATTCATTTCTCCCACCTCAAACCCCAGCCTTTGCCATCCGGGACAGTTCACAGGTATCCTCACACCCCCAGGCTTTTCTACATGTTGTTCCTTCTGCGAGAATGCCATCCTCCTGAACTTCTCCATAGGGTGAACTCATATCCAGCCTTGCTTTCCAGCCCTCCCATGCTCAGCCTCACCTCAACCCTCATCTTTCCTCCCTGCACCATCACCTCAACCTCCTCCCTAGCCCCAGCCTCCAGTGCCTCCCCTCTGGTTCATCCTGCACATGGCCCCAGGGCTGCCCTGGCTCACAGGCCTTCCACGGCTCCCCGTTGCCTTCAGGAGAAGGTCCCAGCCTCTCACGCTGGCATCTGAGGTCCTTGGGGATCTGACCCCTGCCCTCCTCTCCCATCACCCTTACCCATGCATGGTGGTCTTCCTACCCTCCAACCTCCCTGCCTTTGCTGTGATAAAAGAAGTTTAGGCCAGGCACAGTGGCTCATGACTGTAATCCCACCATTTGGGAGGCCAAGACGGGCAGATCACAAGGTCAGGAGTTCGCGACCAGCCTGGCCACCATGGTGAAACCTCACCTCTACTAAATATACAAAAATTAGCCAGGTGTGGTGATGTGCACCTTAATCCCAGCTACTCAGGAGGCTGGGGCAGGAGAATCACTTCAGCCCAGGAGGTGGAGTTTGCAGCAAGCCAAAATCGTGTCACTGCACTCCAGCCTGGGCGACAGAGTTAGACGCTGTCTCGGTGAAAACAAAAAATTTAGGGGCAAGAGCCATGCTTGAAGTGTAGCAAGGTGGAGGCGTCAAGGGTGCCTTCCTGGAGGGGAGCAAAAATCAAACTGGGCTGTAAAGGAGAACTGAGAATATCTAGATTTCAGAAAGGTAGAAGTAAAATGAAAGCGAAAAGCCCCACTCATAATAAAATTCACTCTTTATTGAGCACATGGTGGGCCAGGCGCTGTTCTGTGCATGTCATGGGTGTGAAACCTTAAATCTTCCCAACAGCCACTGCCTTATGGGGACTGTATCAACCTTATCTTCATTTTACAGATGAGAAATCTACAGTAAAGGAAGGTATATCCCAAGGAGACAAAGATACTAAGAGGCATAGCTGGGATTCCAGACACATGGCGGGGCCTCTGCAGGAAGAAACCAAACGTGGAATAATCAGGAGGAAGGGATTTTCCTGTGTCCTCTTAGTGGTGGGGGTAAGACCTCGGCCCAAGTCCTCACTCATCAAGTCCTCCCCAGTGATGCAAGGATGGAGCTGGGGCAAAACCAGGGAGAATCAGGGCTCTTGTGTCGCTGTCTTTATTAAGCGTCAGGGTCAGAGCTGGGCAGGAGGGGAGGGGAAGCAAGGTCTTGGTGAGAGACATTCTGGAACCAGCCAGTGGGGTGGTAGATAGGTCAGGAGATGGATGTCACATGCCAGGGTCACTTGGCCTGAATGGTTTTTCGGATCCAATTGGTGTATCTGCAGACATTGGTGTAGACTCCTGGCTTCTCCTTTGATCCACATGGGATATTGCCCCATGACACAAGGCCTCGGAGGCGGTCTCCACATACCAGTGGACCTCCAGAATCGCCCTGCGGGAGAGAGGGAGAAAGTCAGATACAGATAGAAACCCAGAGACTGCGGGAGTGAGAGAGACAGAGACATGTAAAAAGGGACAGAGACACTCAAAGATGGAGAGAAAGACTCAGAGACAGACACATACGTGCACAGAGAAAGGTAGAGAGAGACTAAAGGAGACTCAAACACAGACACAGAGAAGAAATGCCAAGATGCCAGGAGAGGAAGAAAGAGAATAAATTTAAGAATGGAGCCAGAGGTACAGGGGCAGATGGAGAGAGGGAGAAAAGACGAAGATGACTAAGACTAAGGAGGAGGAGGAGGAGAAAGAGAGGAAGGAGGGGGAGGAGGAGAAAGAGAGGAAGGAGGGGGAGGAGGAGAAAGAGAGGAAGGAGGGGGAGGAGGAGAAAGAGGAAGGAGGGGGAGGAGGAGAAAGAGGAAGGAGGGGGAGGAGGAGAAAGAGGAAGGAGGGGGAGGAGGAGAAAGAGAAGGAGGGGGAGGAGGAGAAAGGAAGGAGGGGTAGGAGGAGAAAGAGAAGAAGGAGGGGGAGGAGGAGAAAGGAAGGAGGGGGAGGAGGAGAAAGAGAGGAAGGGGGAGGAGAAGAAAGGAAGGAGGGGGAGGAGGAGAAAGAGAGGAAGGGGGAGGAGAAGAAAGGAAGGAGGGGGAGGAGGAGAAAGAGAAGAAGGAGGGGGAGGAGGAGAAAGAGAAGAAGGAGGGGGAGGAGGAGAAAGAGAGGAAAGGGGGAGGAGGAGAAAGAAGGAGGGGAAGGAGGAGATAGAGAGGAAGGAGGGGGAAGAGGAGAAAGAGAGGAAGGAAGGGGAGGAGGAGAAGGAGGGGGAGGAGGAGAAAGAGAGGAAGGAGGGGGAGGAGGGATGTGGGGAGAGGGAAAAGAAGGAGGACAACGAGGAGAAGAGGGAGAGGGAGAGGAAGGAGGAGGAGGTGGAGGAGGAAAAGAAGATAAACAAAAGGAAGGAGGAGGCAGAGAAGAGGAGGAGAAAATAATAAAACCCAGGGGAAGCTGGGCACAGTGGCTCGCACCTGTAATCCCAGCACTTTGGGAGGCTGAGGTGGGTGGATCACCTGAGCTCAGGAGTTTGAGACCAGCCTGGTCAACATGGTGAAACCCTGTCTCTACTAAAAAAACACAAAATTAGCTGGGCATGGTGGCGGATGCCTGTAGCCCTAGCTACTTGGGAGGCTGAGGCAGGAGAATCACCTGAACCTGGGAGACAGAGGTTGCAGTGAGCTGAGATTGCGCCACTGAACACTAGTCTGGGCAACAGAGTGAGACTCCATCTCAGAAAGAAAAAAAAAAAAAAAAAAGACCCAGAGGGAGAGAGCCAGGGCAGGCCCAGGGAGAGATGTGCCTTGCACTGTTCTGTCCAGGGATGCCTCTCCACCTCCTCGTGTGCTGAGGACAGTCTTGCCTGCCTGCCCTTTCTTTGCATCCAACTTGCTATGTATCGCTTTCCCTATCTCTATCTCTATCTCTATCTCTATCTCTATCTCTATCTCTATCTCTATCTCTATGTCTATCTCTATCTGTCTCTGTTTCTGCCTCTGTCTCCCTCTTGGTTGGTCTCTGCACATCCCTCAATGCATTAGTCATTCTGGTGTAAAGAGGAGAGACTGGATGGATGACAATGGAGAAAACCCAAGTTAAAGTATTTGGGAGGGAGTCACCTTTCCCCAGCTAGTGTCTCCCTCCTCCAGAGCCTGTTTGTTTCTGAAGGACAGTCCCCTCACACCATCTGCCTCCTTACGGCCTCTCTCTGATTCCTTTTTTTTTTTTTTTTTTGAGTCTGGCTCTGTCCCCAGGCTAGACTGGAGTGGCACGATCTCAGCCTCCTGAAGCCTCCACCTCCCAGGTTCAAGCAATTCTCCTGCCTCGGCCTTCTGAGTGGCTGGGACTACAGGCATGTACCACCATGCCTGGCTAATTTTTGTATTTTTAGTAGAGACAGGGTTTTGCCATGTTGGCCAGATTAGTCCTGAATTCCTGACCCCAGGTGATCCTCCCAACTTGGCCTCCCAAAGCGATGGTGTGACAGGCATGATGAGCCCCTGCACTGGGCCTCTCTGGCTCCTGATCCTGCTGCCTCCCTCCTTGTCTCTGCTGGCTGTGGCTTTACATCTCTGCGTGTCCCTGAGTGCATCTGTGTTGAACCAAGTCTCTCTCTTTTCAGGGCTTAGGTTCTCCCTCAGCCTGTCTCCGTCTGTCTCTGTAAAGCTCTCTTGTGGCCCGTGTTTCTCTCTTCCTGTCTCGGTCATGTTTTTGTGCCTTCGTCCCGTCTCTGGTTGTGTAGCTGGCAGGTCCCGGTCACCTCACCTGGCAGGAATCCTTCCCGTACTTCTCATCCCCGGCACACAACATGTTCTGGGTGATCTGGCCGGGGTAGGCACGCTCACACTCCTCACGGGACACCAAGTGAATGTATGCGCACTGGATGGTGTCAGGGAAATCACCTGTTAGGAGAGAGATGAGCCAGGCTCAGCCCAGGCCCTGCACTCCCCTCCCCTATAAGTCCTCTGTCCCCTATTTGTCCCTCTTTTCCATTGGTTCCCCGCTTCCTGTTTGTCTTTCATTCTTACAACCCATTTCCATTGTCCCTGCCTCCTAATTGGTCCCTCTTTCTATCATTCTTCCTTCTCATTGGTTGTCTTCCTCATTAATAGTTTCTTCTCCCAGAGTCTTCATTTCCTATTGGTTTTCCTTTTCCCTTAGGCCCCTCCTCCACTTTTCTCTCTTCCACTGGTCCCGCCTTCTTCAGTCGTTTCAGTTTTGACCTCTTCTTCTATTAGTCCCTCCTCTACTGTACCCCTCCTGCTCATTAGTCCATTCTTCATTGGACACTTCTTGCCTATTGATTCCTCTTGATTGGTCACTCTGTGACCATTGGTCTTTTCCTAACTGGCCGTTGCCCATTGGTTCTTCCTTTCTATTGGTTATTCTTCCAATGATTTGCCTCCATCATTGGTCCTTTTCTAACTGTCCCTCATGGGTTGTCCCTTTCTATTGGCCCTTCATCCAATGGTCTACCTTCCTCATTGGTCCTTTTTCTAAGTGGCCCTGCCCTCCCTCATCGCTCTCTCTTCCTATTGGTTTGCCTCCCTCTTTGGTTTTTCCTAACTGGCCTCACCATCCCCCATTGGCTCTCCCTTCCTATTAGACCTTCATCCAATGGTCCACCTCCCTCATTGGTCCTTTTCTAACTTGCCCCATCCTCCCCCACTGGTTCTCCCTTCCCATTGACCTTTCATTCAATGGTTCACCTTTCTTATTGGCCCTTCACCCACAGGCCCACTTTTCATGGCTCCTGCTGATCTATTGGACCTGTTTTTTCCTCTAGTGACTCCTCTGGACCATTGACCCTTTCCCTTCAGTCCCTCTTTCATCAACTCTATGCATTCACTGTCTTCATTCACATCCTTCAGTTGGCTCTTGAACTTTATTGGTTTCTCTTCTTCTATGAGTTCCTTCTCCATTATTCCTTCCTGCTCTTCAGTGCATCCTGAGCAGTCTCCCTTGACTGTTGACCTTCCTGATGAGTCTCCCCACTGACCTTCCCTCTTCATTGAAATCTCTCCCATGCTAGTCACCCATTGGTCTACATTTTCCATTGGCTGTTCACTCATTGGCCCAGCTCCCAAATTCACCCTCCCTCCCCCTTGACCTTTCTCCCATGGAAACCCTGTCCCATTGGTCATCACCATTAGCCATCTTCCCCTGGCCCCTCACCAATTGTCCCACCCTCCATCCTTTGGCCCACCTTCCCCAGTAGGCAGTAGCCTGTTCCCTACCAGCCTTCCACTACTGACCATCTGCTGTCTTGCCCCAGCCCAGGATGTGGCAGCTGGTGTAGTTGGCTGAGCAGTCCCTCTCCAGGGGAAGGGGCCGGATGAGTTCAGAGAGCTTGGCCGGGTGTGCCAGGCGCAGCAGCATGATGTCCTGGTCATGGGTGGAGGCATCGTAGCCAGGGTGGATCACAGCCCGGACCACAGAGCTCTGCTCCTGTGAACTCTCCCTTTGCTGAAGATTATGCTTCCCCAGGAAGACCTGAAGATTCCTGGGAAGGAAGAGGGCTGGGTCTCACTTGAAGCCCTTGGACTAAAGATGGGGCTTCAGAAAGGGCTGGGAAGTCATGAACCAGCTGGCCTGCTCCTCCCACAGTCTTCCCCTCCTGAGTAAATGGCAATTCCATCTTTTCAGAATAATCTTGGGGGCTATTCTTCACTCTGTTTAGTTCATGCCCTATATCAAACCTGTCCAGAAATCCTTTTCCCTCTGAAGTATATCCAGAATCTGACCATATCTTACCATTTCCATGGCTGCCATCTTGGTTTGAGCTGCCTTTTCACTTCTTACCTGGACTAGAGCAGTGTCCTCCTCACTGGGCTCCCCGCTCTGTCTCAGGCCCTGCGCCCCACAGTCCATCCTTCGCAAAGCAACCAGAGATATCTTAACAACGTAAGTTGGTCTTGTGCCTCCTCTGCTCAGCCTTGCCTATGACTCCCATCTCACTCAGAATCAAAGCCAAAGCCACTGTCCGATCATCTCTCAGACATCTCCTCCCCATCTCCCCTTCTCTCCCTCTGCTCCAGACAAACACTGGCTTCCCTGTCTTTCCTTGAACACCAAAGTGGTCGTCCCACCCCAGGGCCTTTGCACTGCTGTTCCCTCTGCCAGCAAGTCTGTCTTCCAAGTATCTACATAGTTCACTCCCTCACTTCCTTTAAATGTCACCTCTCAGGGAAGCCTTCCTTAGTTGCCCAAATAAAAATACAAGTACGTATTCCAGTAGGTAATTCCTGTCTCCCTCCCATTTCTGTTCCACCAGAGAACCTATCACAATCATCTGACATGCTATATATTTATTGTTAAACATTTCCTCATTGTGTTGTTTCTCCTTTTTGCATAGCAGGGCTGTCCACTAAATGTCACGATGGCATAATCTCTATCTGCACTGTCCAGACGTGGCTGGGGGAGCCACAAGCTGCAGGTGGCTGCTGAGTACTTGAAATGTGGCTTGTGGAGTTTTCATTTCATTAATTTCCATATAATTTGCTATATGTGGCTGATGGCCACCTTATCAGACAGTGCAGCTCTGGGAGGTCAAGATGGGGATTTTTGTTCTATTCAGATATAGTATCTCCAGTTCCTTGACCAGCACCTGGCACATGATCGGCATTCGATACATATTCATGAAACAAACAGTCGACATCTCCCATGGCTCCCCATTGTCCTAAGAATAAAGCCTGGGCTCCTCACTTTTCACTGGAGTCCCTGTGTGATCTGGCTGTAGTCACTTTCCAGCGTTATCTCCCAGCACCTTCTGGCCTCCGGTGAACAGGGAAACTCTTTTCTGAGAATACTCAAGATGGTTCTCAACTCAGGGATGCTATTCCTGCCTTTCCTCTGCCCTGAACACTTTTTCCCCATCTTCATGCTTCCGCTTGGATTTTGTCTCATCAGAAAGTCCTTCCTTACCCTCCTCCATCTAAAGTAGGTACCCCTATTCTTTTCCTTCGTAATTTGTAATTATATGGGGTTTTGTAGGGTTTGCTTTTTATTTTTTATTTTTTTGAGACACAGTCTAGCTCTGTTGTCCAGGCTGGGCCTGCAGCAGCACTCTAGATCACTGCTCACTGCAGCTTAGAACTTCTGGACTCAAGTGATTCACCTTCCTCGGCTTCCCAAAGTGCTGGGATTACAGGTGTGAGCCAACGTGCCCAGCACAATTTGCTGCCTTTTTTTTTTTTTTTTTTTGACGCAGTCTCTCACTTTGTCACTTGGGCTAGAGTGCAGTGGTGTGATCTTGGCTTACTGCAACCTCTGCCTCCCAGGTTCAAGCGATTCTCCTGCCTTAGTCTCCCAAGTGGCTGGGACTACAGGCATGTGCCACCTCACCCAGCTAATGTATTTTCAGTAGAGATGGGGTTTCGCCATGTTAGCCAGGCTGGTCTCAAACTCCTGACTTCAAGTGATCCTCCCACCTCGGCCTCCCAAAGTGCTGAGATTACAGGTATGAGCCACCATGCCCAGCCCCCACTTTGCTTCCTCTGCACCTTTCTGTCCTTGTGCTCCCAAGGGCAGTGGTGCGGTGTGAGTCTCATCCATTGCTGAATCTCCACTGCCCAACTCGAATCTGGTACTTAGCAGATACTCTGAGTCAATGTGCATCAAAGGAATGAATGATGGTGGTGGGGGGCATCTCGAGTCTCTGGGGAGACCACCCCAGGGACTGTCACTTGCTATTTCTCTGCACCTCAGTTTCATTTGCCAGAGTCCCGTGTCGTGGGGATTCTGGGAAAGGTGTATAAATGGTTTCACTCAACACCTGATCCGTAGTTAGCATGAAACACAATGGCAGCTGTTGTGAATCTAACTAGTGAGGCTCAGTGCCCGGGGTTTTCCTGCCGGGCCCTCCAGCTCCTCCATCTGTGCCCGCTTTTCGGATGATCTCATCTAATCCCATGGCTTTGAATACTCCCTGTTTGCTAACGATGCCTTTATTTTTGCCTCTAGCCCTGACCTCTCCTCTGAGCTCCAGAGGCCTCCCCAGTCTCCCTGCTGGGACATCTCCCAGGCATCTAAAACTCACCGTGGTTAAAGCAAAATGTCAGATGCTCCCATCCCCACACCCAGCCTGTTTCTCTTTCCTTCTCCCCCAGCTCAGAGAAAGACGTGGCAAAACACCCAGTTGTTCAGGACAAATACCCAGAAGCCCTGCTTCTTCTCTCTCCCTCCTGTTTCTCGTTGCCAAATTCTGGCTCTGTCTCAAAATCCAGCATCTCAAGGTATTCAACTTCCCTCCATCCCCACTGCCACCGCCTGGGTTCAAGCCACCCTCTTACGTGGTCAGACGAAAGCAACAGCCCCCGCATGGGTCTCCCTCCCTCTCCTCTTGCCTAGGCTACTTTTCACATAGTAGCCAGGGTGCTTGTAAAAATGTAAGTCAGACCAGGCATGGTGGCTCTTGCCTATTATCCCAGCACTTCGGGAGGCTGAGGCAGGTAGATCACCTGAGGTCAGGAGTTCGAGATCAGCCCTGGCCAACATGGTGAAACCCCGGTCTCCACTAAAAATGAAAAATTAGCCAGGCATGGTGGTGCACACCTATAATCCCAGCTACTTGGGGTGCTGAGGCGGGAGGAACACTGGAACCCAGGAGGCGAAGGTTGCAGTGAGTCGAGATCGTGCCACTGCACTCCAGCCTGGGTGACAGAGTGAGGCTCTCTCTCAACAAACAAACTATGACAAAACTGCCCAGTGGCCCTGCTGTGCTCACAATTAAATCCAAATGCCTGTCACGCCCTGCAGGTGCCCAAATGATTCAATTTCCCCATTAGAAGGTAAGTTCATGAAACAGCAATTTTGCTTGTTTTTTTTCCCCCCACCAACTGCTGTACCCCCAGGTCCTGGCACACATGAAGTGCTCAATTAAACACTGGGCTGAATGCACCTGGCTATCAGATGGCCACACGCTGGGATGAGGGGGGATGCCTGTGTCACCTCCTGCCTGACATCTACAAGACACCTTGGGGTCTGGTTGCATCTGCTGTTCATTCACAGCGTAGACTCACGGTTTTTTGCAGTGGGCTGCTGTGAGGACCCACAGTGGATGGATAAGGACGCCACCGCAGAGCAAGTGGCCCGAGGTGTAGAGGGCGGCTTGGTAGGGGTGACGCGTCTTTTCACAGGGTCCACCATGCACCAGCTTATTCTGCTCCTCTGCCGAGGCTGAGGGAGAGAGGCTCTGAGTCAGCGAGGTTGGGAGAAACCAGGTGACCCCCTCAAGGTGAACGCCCATCAAGATCGCTCAGGTGCAGTGGCTTATGCCTGTCGTCCCAGCTGAGGCAGGAGGATTGCTTGAGCCCAGGAGTTTGAGACTAGCCTGGGTAACACAGCGAGACCTCATCTCCACTAAAAATCAAAATAATAGGCCGGGTATGGTGGCATATGCCTGTAGTCCCAGCTACTTGGGAGGCTGAGGCAGGAGGATCCCTTGAGACCCAGGAGTTCGAGTCTGCAGTGAACTGTGGGTCACACCACTGCACTTCAGCCTGGGCGATAGGGGAGACCCGGTCTCAGAAAAGAAAGCAAAAAAAAAAGCTTCTCTGTATTCCCACCCCAAAACTTCGCATTCCCATCACAAACCCAGGCTCTAACTTTTCAACCTACCTTCTATCTCTTCTTGGTCTCAAGCCCCATCCATAAAGCCAGTCCACCCCTGAACCCTCATATCTTCACCCCTCCCACCACCTTCCCCATCTGTATTCCCCACCCTTAGCCTAATCCCCAACGTCTTCCTCATTTCAGACCCCCCACCCCAACCCTGTGTGTATCCCCATCAACAAACCCAATCCCATCTGCAAGCCTCCCCGTTTCCAGTGTCCTTTCCCCACCTGCAGCCACCAGGCTCAGCACCACCAGCAGCTTCTTCATGGCCGCTCCTGAGAGGGGAAGCCACACGCTTCATTAGTCACTGCCTCAACCCTGCCCCACATCCCTCTGCCTGCTCCCTCCCCATCCTCTCCTTCCTGCCAGGCCTGCTACCCTCTCTGGCCTTGACCTCTGTCCTCCCCGTCTAGCCTCCTGATTCCTTCTTTCCCAACCCACGTCTTTCATCAGAGGGACCCACACGAACACTGCCAAAGAGAATCCGAAACTATGTCCCTGGGTCCCAGTCACCCAGTGACTCACGGTGAGATTCTGATTAAATCTTTCTACTTTCTTGAGCTCTCCTTTGCCTTCCTGCGGAAAGGAGAGGGTTACCCTAGGGGGCCCTAGCGTTCTTCCTGTCTTTGGGAGCTTTCCTCTGCACCTGGCTCTGTGCTCCCGGTCACCGCCCCGCCCACCCCTGCAGGTTCTGTGATGCCCGTGATCTTACCTGCTGCAGGCCACTGGGCCCCTGGGCCTCCGGAGGTTCTTGAGTTGGAGAAGGGACAGCTTCAAGACAAGGAGGCAGAAAGAGTCAGAAATGCGGGGATCCGTGGGGAGAGAAGACACTCAGAGGCAGTGACAGAGCCAAGCAGAGGACGCAGGGGCTGCAGCGCCCAGGGCTGCAGGGACTGCCAGACTCACACCCCCGGCTCTCGGGCTTCCTTGAAGGAGGCTGCTTCTGTCCCCAGATGCTTCTGGGACTTCCTTTTAAACACCCCCATCTCCCCAGGTCCCTGAGCCAGGAGACTGGTTCCACCCTTTTCCTCCTTACCCAGGCCTCCCACACACATTCCTCCTGCCCCCACGCTGTGCTCCTGCTGACCCCTGACCAGGCCTCCAGGGAGGGGAGCTCTGGTCCCTGAGTGCAATGAGGGCCTGGACTCCTGGGTCTGATGGAGGAGGGGCTGAGGGGCTGGGGGACTAGACTCCTGGGTCTGAGGGAGGAGGGGCTGGGACCTTAACTCCTGGGTCTGAGGGAGGAAGCGCTGGGCCCTGAATCTGAGGCAGAGGCAGTTCTAGTCTGCTCAGTCCTTAGACCTCCAGGTTTTGGATAATGAAAGTGTCTGAAGACTGAAATTCCAGCCTCTGGGGCAAGCAGACAGTGCCCCAGGCCTTCCTGCACCCCCAGCACTCTCCGTGCCACCAAGGGACCTGCAGGTCCTCACTCCAGGTTCCAGAGCCCTCGGGTACTGGGAACCAGCCCGTCCAGGTTCAGTAGGGTTGGGGTGACTCACACACCTGCCCGTAAGTCCCTCTGTGTGCTGCCTGCTGACCTCCGTGTCCCCAGGAGAGAGCGAGCCAGCCAGCCAGGGAGACAGCATGTGACACCACACTGCCCCCGCCCCTGCCCCAGGCTGGGGAGCAGGCCCAGGCGCTGTGGGGAAAGGGCCCAGGAACAATCAGGCTTTGTCTGCCCCTAGCACCCCAGTGCCATGCTCCCAGCAGCTCCGTGCCTCAACCTCTCTTCCGGCAGGCGGGTGGCTACATCAATGCCTTCCCTTTGTCCCTGTCTGACAGTCCTCCTTTGCAGCCTCTGACTGCCCACCTGGCCCCGACTGGAGATTTCGGCACTCCTCATCCTTCTGGTCCTTCTCCAAGTCTGCCTGCCTCTGAGGCCTCTTGCTCCATCTGTCTCCCGGGCCACAGAGGGGAGGGGGCTTCTCTCTCTCTACCTTTTTCTCCACTTTGTTTTGTCCTGTCTTTCTCTTTTTTTTCTCTCTCTCCCGCTCCTTCCTTCCCTCCCTCCCTTCCTTCCTCTCTCTGTCTCTCTTTCTTTCTTCAATGGAGTCTCACTCTTTCACCCAGGCTGCATGCAATAGTGGTACAATCTCGGTTTACTGCAACCTCTGCCTCCTGGGTTCAAGAGATTGTCCTGCCTCAGCCTCCTGAGTAGCTGGGACTACAGACGCCCACCACCACGCCCAGCTAATGTTTGTATTTTTAGTAGAGACAGGGTTTCACCGTGTTGGCCAGGCTGGTCTCGAACTCATGACATCAGGTGATCCACCCTGACCCCCTCGGCCTCCCAAAGTGCTGGACTACAGGCGTGAGCCGCTGTGCCCAGCCTCTCTCTCCCTTTCTTTCCCCTTGATCCTCTGACTCTCTGTGCTTGTCTTTTCCAGCGTCTCTCTGAAGATTTCCCTGGGGAGAAGCACTGCATTTACCCAGAAGGGAGTCGGGTTCCCCAGGAGCTCTCCGGGATCCATTCCCCAGCGATGGGGAAGACAGCAGGATGCAGGAGGACTTGGGGCCTTATTGATGAGATGCGGACACACAGCGAGAGGTGTGGGGTTAAGTGGGAATCAGAGGGCACTTTTGAGAGTGACACAGGGCTGTGATGAGAAGGTGGTGTGGGGCAGCAGCTGAGGGATCCGGGAAGACTCGGGAGGTGCCTTTGAATTTGGGCCTAGAAAGCTGAGCCAGGTGTAGGTCAGGCGGAGAGGCCGTGAACATGCCTGGCCTGTGTGCGCATGGAAAGCGGTAGGCAGTGGTTGGGTGATTGGTACGGGCTGGAGGGCAGGGGTGTGTGTGTGGTGGAGTGGAGCGAAAGGAGGAGGGAAGTCACTGGGTAATCAGGGCGATGACAGGAATGAAGTTTGGCTCGGCACCTGCTTGGCCTGGGCACTGCAGGTAGCATACAGATAGTTATTTTTTCTTTTGAGTCTAGGTCTTTTTCTGTTGCCCAGGCTGGAGTGCAGTGGCACCATCATTGCTCATGGCAGCCTCAACCCTCCTGAGCTTAAGTGACCCTCCCACCTCAGTCTCCTTAGAAGCTGGGACCACAGGCATGAGCCACTGCTCCCGGCCAACCCTTTTCTTTCTCTTGCATTAAATCTAATTGTCACCTTACATTGCCCAGCCCCCATCACAGCAGGGATGAAGACTGCTTTGGTATTCAGTATCCTCTCTGGGTGCTCCTTCACACTTGGTCCACCCTGACCTCAGCATCTTCTTCTCAGGACCTACCATCCTCACAGACACCAAGTCTGACGTCGCACAGCCTGGTGACCAGGCCCTATACCTCTGCCTCCTCTCTCTGGGGGATCCCTTCCTCTCTGTCCCCACAACCCCAACCTCGGCTCAGAGCTACGCCTCTCCCACCTGGACCACGCCTCCATGGAGGGAAGCACTGGTCCCTGAGTGCAATGAGGGCCTGAACTCCTGGGTCTGAGGGAGGAGGGGCTGGGGGCCTGGACTCCTGGGTCTGAAGGAGAGGGGCTAAGGACCTAGACTCCTGGGTCTGAGAGGCCCTCCTCTGTATCCTTTGCCTGACCCCAGACAGGCCTTTCTATGCCTGGTTTTGACCTGGCCTCTCCTCTCACAACCTTGTCCACATCTCCCTTGGGACCAAGTCCCAGCCCCATAGCCTGGTGTTTGAGAAGCACCGCGAATGAAATGCGATGCCAAGCACACATGCGAATTTCTGTTTCCAGTCACCACAGAGTTTTTTAAGTAAAAAGATTTAAGCGTCCCTACCACAGAAAATAAGGGTGTGAAGTAATGCATATGTTACTTATCTTGATTTACCCGTTCCACGATGTATACATACACATATCAAACATGATGTTATACACCAGAAACAGATACAATTTTTACTTGTCAATTAAAAGATAAACTTAAGGTCAGGCGTGGTGGCTCATGTCTGTAATCTTAGCACTTGGGGAGGCTGAGGCGGGTAGATCGCTTGAGTCCAGGACTTCACAACCAGCCTCTGCAACATAATGAGGGCCCATCTCTGCAAAAAAAAAAAAAAAAAAAAAATTAGCTGACGTGGTGGTGCACACCTGTAGTCTCAGCTACTCAGGAGACTGAGGTGGGGGAATTGCCTGGGAGGTCCCTGCTGCAGTGAGCTGTGATTGTGCCACTGCACCCCAGCCAGGGCAACAAAGCAAGACCCCTGACTCAGTAATAATAATAAATGCATTTGAAGTATTTGGATGCGAGATTGAAATAATTAACTAAGACAAAAGTATGCTAAATTGCAGGGTCTTTATTGCCGGCGACCACGGAGGACTCACGTCTCTCCAACCCATGGCCCCGAACTCGGGGATCAGGGTATTTAAGCTGAAAAACCACATAGTGGATGCAGGGCAAGCAACTTTACAGTAACTACTGATAAGCAAAGGCCAGGCAGTTACTGATAAGAAAAAGGCAATCAGTGTACGTTCTTTAGAGCAAGCTAGCAGTTTTGTTTACAGAAGCCAAGGTCAGCAGTTATTGCAAGGAGAATGGGACAGTACAACTTATTTTTGGAAAAAACAGCTTTGTCTTATAAAATGACGTTGCTCAGGCTCTAACTCTAGGCCCACTATAGCACACATTCAAAGGAAAAAAAATACAAAGAAACAGGAGCACCTAATTCTAATAGTTCATTGAATTCAATATGTTCAAAATATTATCATACAAAATAAAAATAAAATTAGTAAAAGAATTATTTGCCTTCTTACTTTTTGGCACCCTGCATGTTTGGAATCTGTTGGGATCTGTTGTGTCATATATATTTACAGATGTCTCAGTTGGAGCTCATTTTAAGCCACCAAGAGCCCTAGACATGGCTGGACAAGGTGGCTCACGCCTGTAATCTAAGCACTTTGGGAGGCAGAGGCAGAAAGATCTCTTGAGCCCAGGAGTTCAAGACCAGCCTAGGTAATATAGTGAGACCCTATCTCTAAAAAGAAAAAAAAAATTACCTAAGTGTGATGGCACACATCTGTGGTTTCAGCTATGCTGGAAGCTGAGGTGGGAGAGTTGCTTGAGCCTGGAGGCTCAGGCTGCAGAAAGCCATAATCACGCCACTGCACTCTAGTGTGACAGAGCCAGAGCCTGTCAAAAATTTTTTAGAAAGAGCCCTGAGTGGTGAGTGGCCCCCACACTGCATGGCACAGCTATGCCTACTTCTCCATGTGGCTCCCAATTTCTAGGTCACATCAAACTTCCCTACCCATGCCATGCCCTCTGGCCTCTGGCCCTTCACTCAATGCTATCCCCCCTTTTTTTGAGATGGAGCCTCTCTCTGTTGCCCAGGCTGGAGTGCAGTGGCACAATCTCCACTCACTGCAACCTCTGTTTCCTGAGTTCAAGCAAGTCTCCTGCAGTAGCTGGGATTAAAGGTTCATGCCACCAGGCCTGGCTAATTTTTGTATTTTTAGTAAAGATGGGGTTTCCCCATGTTGGCCAGGCTGGTCTTGAACTCCTGACCTCAGGGGATCCGGCCGCCTCAGCCTTCCAAAGTGCTAGGATTACAAGCATGAGCCACCACACCCGGCCTATTCTTTCTTCTTAGCACGTTTTCCCCACCGTTTCCTGTCAATAACCTGTCCTTCAAGTCTTTGCCTGAACATCACCTCCTCCAGGAAACCTTCCCTGAACACCACCCAGCCTCCACCTGCTGCAGTTGGATTACTCATTCTCTCACGTAAGTTCCCACAGCTGGTGTCTCGGTCAATCTACCCTGGACTGGGGCCACCTGGATTGACATTCATTGTCTCTTCCACTGGATGGCGAGCTCCTTGAGGGCAGGTACAGGGTTGATTCATTCCTGTGTCCCAAGCACCCACATAGGACCTGGCCGGGAAGAAGGCTTAGGAAACACGACCAGATGACTAAATGACTTCCTCACACCCACTCCCATTTTACAGATAAGAAAACCGAGGCTCCAAGTGGAAGTTCATTGCTCAACATCAAACACTCAGGAAATGATGGAGCCTGAATGGGAGCTCAACTTCCAACATGGCAGCAGATGTGGCCCATCCCTTGCTGACCTCACTGGGTCTGTCTTATGACAATATGAGGTGAGTGAACTTGAGAGGAATTGTTGAGAGCTGGGTGGGGAAAGAAGGGAGGTGTTAGGCTGTGGGGAGTGGAGGACTTTGAAAAGAAAGAAATTCCTGACTCTACCCCTTCTCTGGTGACCTTTGTGGTGTGCCATCTCCGCATTCCTTGAATGCCCATTTACTGGATATTTTGCTCCAGATTGACCTGCTGGGCAAAAATCTTCAATAAATATATCCTTTTTCTGGGTGCAGTGGCTCACACCTATGATCCCAGCACTTTGGAAGGCTGAAGTGGGAGGATTATTTGGAAGGCTTGGGAGTTAGAGGCCAGCCTGGACAACATAGTGAGACCATGTCTCTACTAAAAATAAAAAATAAAAAAAATCAGCCAGGCATGGTCCCAGCTACTCAAACGGCTGAGATAAGAGGATTGCTTGAGCCCAGGAGATAGAGGCTGCAGTGAGCTATGATCATGCCACTGCTCTCCAGCCTAGGCAACAGAGCCAGGCCATATATATATATTATATTATATGATTTGTAAGGATATAAATCATACAATATAAGGATATAAGGAGAGATATATAATATATATATACAGTGGAAGCATATATTATGCATATATATGGAATATTATATA